CCATTTCCCATTCACCCTCATTTTAAGAATATTACATCTTAAAAAATAAAACCTCAACAGTTCTTGCATCATAACTGTAGCCTTAAAGAAGTTTAGGAGCAAGTGATCAGAAGGGATGAGATCGAGACGCTCGCATTCTTCGGGCAAGCCGTTTTCAACAGCTTGGAATTTGATCAAACGGATTTCAATTTCGATACCCAAATGCTTGTTTCTTTCAATAGATTTGGAGAAAACAGATTCATTTAGGGGAGTGGTGATTATAGTGGCCTTAACACCACGTAAAGCGACGAGCTTCGCCATGTCTAGTGTAGGAATCATGTGGCCATGAGCCATCATGGGAAAGAAGAGGAAATGGAGCTGACTCATGTGAAATTTTTGGAAAAAGAAGTTCCAGCAAAAAACAAAAAGCAGAAGAAACTTAAGTAACAGTTCACTCCAGTTAGTTACCAGAGTTTTCAATACACGTCTTGTACAGCAAAAATCAGAGTCAAGAGTCATAAAATGGCATCTCTCCCCCATTATTTGCTCTTCAGTTGGTTAGTCTGTTGTGAACATGGAAATGCCATGCTTGTTTTTTTTTATCGGGGAAATGTTTATTTTACTCAATTTGGGCATGCGAAGGAACTAACATTGTCATTCAACGGTGATTGGATGAAAATAAAAGTTAGTACTGATTACAAATTTTAAGCTAATAGCAGTTTGTGACAGGAAATTTTAATGGCATTTAATAAAAATCTGATTAGGTTTAATTTTAAACATCAATAGCAGAAAACATAAGAGACTTCTACTGAGTACTTTTTATTTATTTTATATAATATTACTGTAGCATGAGTTCGGATAGAGTCACGTGATTAGTGGGATTCATATAACTGATCCTAATTTATATGTGACTGAGACGTTATAATAGTAGTTGTAACGATGTAAACTTTTTAGTAATTAATTATGCAATGAAAAGTACGTGTTACTTTTTGCAATATATGGAGTAGTAAGTAAACTACATTGTCACACTCAATAAGATTATGCATAACCATCTGTGTATGCAAGTAAAATAAATTAATACTCTAGCGGATGACATCAACGCCACGTAGGCAGTCTCATTTCATGTATGTTCAAGCTTCTTTCTTTACGGAGCTTTCTATACAATATTTAAAATTTATTTATTAAAATTATTTTAATTTTATATATTATCCGTCCTAAACAAGGATACCTTACAATTTAGATACAATCCATTATTAATACCTTAAATTAGGGGATTCAGTTACACCATTTTTTCTTTTTTCTCTCCCGTCTCTCTCCATATATAATTTATTATTAGTGCCTTAAATTATGAGTTTCGGTTACACATTTTCCCTTTTTTTCTCTCATTTTCTCTTTCCACCGTGCATATTATGTGTAAATACTAACCAAGCGTAAAAAATTCTAGTATCCTAACTTCAACCGCTTCAGCTAATTCGAAAAACATGGAACACTAGCTATCTTGTTTCATTTGATTATCTAAACATGTCTAGCGAGACATATGCAGCTTTGAATAATCCAAAGTCCAAACCAAGACATTAGGAATCGTAGGAAAGCACCGACTTCACAACAAATTAGGAAAAGGCACATGAATTGTCAACTATTTTATCTTTATTGATTATTTACATACATCTGTTTAGTCAACCTTATGCAACTTTTTTATCAATCCTGTCTCAAAAGCTACAAAATGTATGCATGAAAAAGAGATTCTAAACATACCCGTACAATTCATGAACTTGTACAATTTAATACATGTACAATAACAACAACAACAACCAAGTATAATCCCACTAGTGGGGTCTGGGGAGGGTAGTGTGTACGCAGACCTTACCCCTACCATGAGGTCGATAGGCTGTTTCCAATAGATCCTCGGCATCCTTCCCTCCAAGAACTCCCCACCTTGCTCTTGGGGTGACTCGAACTCACAACCTCTTGGTTGGAAGTGGAGGTTGCTTACCATCAGAGCAACTGTCACACCTCCTTTTTCCCGAAGGGATAAGGAGTTTTTCCAATTAAAGTGACATTAATCGAAATGGGATTATTTATTTGTTCAGAGTCGCCACTTGGAATAGTTTATGGTGTCCCAAGTCACCGGTGTATTTTAAATCCCAAATCGAGGAAATTGACTCTTATTTATGGTCTGCGAACACAGAAGACCGAGTAAGGAATTCTGTTAACCCGGGAGAAGGTGTGAGGCACTCCCGAGTTCCGTGGTTTTAGCACGGTCGCTCAACTGTAATAATTGGCCTAATTGTCTGATTTAATACATATTTGAAACATATTATGTATTTTTAACTTCTAACCGCTTTCAATTAATTTAATCGCCTTTTAATGCTTATGGAATCATTCCTGAAACAAGTTACGACGTCGTACACTTGTCGTTTTGGTACATATTGCAAACCGCGCCACATGAAATGCACCCGCGATTTACGACATGTTTATTTTAGTTATTGTTTGAAGTTATGATCGGGCCACATGAAATGCATATCCGAATTGGGGATTACGTATCACGACTATACCACGGAAATCGTACCCATAACCGTGATCATTTAATTACTCGCCTAAAGCAAAGCTACGAATGTTTATGCTTAGATTGATTTTTCTAAGTTTGAAATCGTGTATGAAATGTCCAAGTATGGGGAATTTATAATAAGGACACAGGTGTATTGACAGATTGCCAAACATCTTATAGACAGCATAATCTTTATGTCAGTTTGATTTGTTAATAAAGAAAAATGGGCTGGAAACTCATTTAGCCTTTTCTGTTCTTCAATCCGAAATGGGCCTGGAGCCCAATAGCTTGTTAACCAATAGAGTGCAAAGACACATTCACTAAATTAGCTAGTATACGAAACATGACAATTCAAATCACCGGCCAATAAATTACAGCATAGTATAATTACAAATCTGGCTAAATATTTGACAATTAAAACGCTAATCAAAGAGAAAAATCGCACTTTAAGCTTGAACTATTACAAAGGCAAATGATCCTAGCCACAATTGATGTAATCCTACCAAACTTAACGAACAAAATATGGGTACACATATATTTATACAATTTCAGTTTCAAAATCCTATCTAGCAAGTTTTAATTGCTCTTATCACCTGACTAACACCACAAACTTGTTCATGACTAATGGAAAATCAATTATACAAAAAATCTTAAATTATTCTTCGTGGAGAATCATAAGCACAATATACTCCATCATAGAATAGGGAGGCAAACAAGCTAAATCACAATTCCATTTGATAACTTCATACCATGACTGTCATCATGTATTATTTCAATACAATAATAATGTGTTTAAAGTACAGTAATGCACGAAACAGATTTAAATAAGAATGTTGCAGAACATGCTAATCACATGGAGCTTAACATGGAATTTCAAACTTCATGTATACAATCATGGAAGAACAAATGCTCAGCTTCATACCTGGTTATAACAAAAATACACAAAGAAAATAAATCTCTAAATGTTGAGGAAAATATCAGCACGAACAGCTAAAAGCAAACCAAAACAGCTTCAAAAGGCCACTTCCAAAATCCAAAGAGAACCCAGAAAAACTACTGAAATAGTATGAATTCGAATCTCTCCTTTTTTGTTGTTTTTCTAAACCGTTTTTTTTTAGTTTTTAAGATATTTTCTGAAACAAAATGAGAATGAGGATATTTTTTGAAAGAAAAGTAGAGAGTCAGAAGATCCTTCTTTCTTTTCAAAAATGCAGAGCATCCAAAAAATCCCTTTATCTGTGGGGAAGATCCCCTTTTTATACTAAAAATCAAGGAATCCCTTTTAACATGTGTCATCCCTAAAAATACGAAAAAAAGCATCTTCTAAAACCGAATTGGACAGTTGTACCTTTGCAGATGTTTTCCTTCATTTTTCAGCTCAAAAGTCCCAAAAATTTGACTTCTTTTAGTTTTCGTTTTGCTAATTAGTCCTTTCCCTATCCTCTAGAACCTTCTTAATTGGTTACAGAAAATATTCCTCAATTTTAATTCCTAAACTACCCTGCAATATCCTTGTATTTACACCTCTTGTGGAAATGTAACCCTACTGATTAATGAACTACTGGGCTTGGGTCGAAATTGGAGCAAGATTTGGGTCGCTGATCACTGGCCCAATTTGAAAACAAACTAAATAGCCTCTTTCTTTCCTAGTCTAAATATTTTTTAAATTAACCAATCTAATTCTAATTAAAGATAACTTTGCGAAATTAACCTAACTATCTATTTTCTAACAATTAACTAATTACTTAGCGAACAAATGCATGT